GCAGCCAGAGGAACCCGCAGTGGGCCTCGGTATCCTACGGGGTCTTCATGTGCCTAGAGTGTTCTGGAAAGCACCGCGGCCTCGGGGTCCACGTCAGCTTCGTGAGGTCGGTGACCATGGACTCGTGGTCCGAGGTCCAGCTGAAGAAGATGGAGGCTGGGGGCAACGACAGGCTCAACGCGTTCTTGAGGCAGTACGGGGTCGCGAAGGAGGCGGAGATCGTTGTGAAGTACAATTCGAACGCCGCTTCTGTGTATCGCGATCGGATCCAGGTGTTTTTTTTATGGTTTTTTTTTTGGATTTTTTTTTTCGGTTGCTGAGTGCTCATTTTTGTTTGAGATCAGTTTATTTCTTTGAATTTTGGATCATATAGTGACGTAGGGATTCTGTATCTAGATGTGTTTGTTTCTTGCGTGCTTTAGTTTTCTTGAAATGTTCTATAGATTTTTTTTTTGTGAATTTTAGCGTATTTTTTATTTCTTAATCCTTGAAAAATAAAAAGTAAAATTCCGTAGCATTATTTCGAACTTTAGATTCTAGTATTTCGAACTTTAGATTCTAGTGTTTGCAGATTCTGCCTATTATTCTGTTTGTTGTTAGTAGTTTTCTTGAAATTCTGGCACATTTTTGCTATTTTTTAAATCTTTTCTATCTTAAAATTTGTGATTATCTATTAATTTCCAGATTGCAATATGTAGGTATGTTCCTTTATTATTTTTTATGAAAATCTTGCTCGTCATGCTTAAATGATATTGATTTTTCTATTTATTTTGATATGTAGGCATTGGCTGAAGGCCGGCCATGGAGAGATCCACCGGTGGTTAAGGAAATCCATCGCCAGCCAGCGGGTCCCAGGCGAGGAAGCCGCCGATGAGCCAGAATGGAGGAAGTTCTGCGAAGAGTAATGGAGGTTGGGATGATTGGGATGATGATTTCAGATCATCAGATCTGAGAAGAAACCAATCAACAGGGGATTTTAGGGCGGGAAACAATGGAACTAGAGGAGGACAGCCATCTAGATCGAGATCGACCACAGATATTTATACGAGATCGCAGCTGGAGGCATCGGCTGCTAATAAAGAGAGTTTCTTTGCGAGGAAGATTCAAGAGAATGATTCGAGACCTGAAGGGCTTCCGCCCTCTCAAGGAGGGAAGTATGTGGGGTTTGGGTCGTCGCCTGGGCCAGCAGTGACTAGGAATAATCTGCCGCAAGGGGATGTGATGTCAGTAGTCTCTCAGGTAAATGTTTGCTCCTTTCCTTGCTTGTCATTAGCATTATTTTAAGTGATTGTAGTTAATTGCCACTTATAAGTAACTCACTTCAATGATTGCGTCTTCTCAGGACAAGTAAAAGGGAGACCTGCATTACAAAACACCTAAGAAGTACTAGGAAAATGCTCGTCTTTGGGATTCAAACAAATTGTATATCATACATGCAATTTACTGATATCCACTTCCTTACAGGACACTTGACAGATACATTTACAAATGTGGGCATGGTTCTACAAGGAAAATCCATAATCTATATTCGCTAATATCGAATATCACATCATATATCATGTGAGAGAAAAAATATGTCGGCACAAAATGTATATGGAGAAACATATAAGACAGAGCCCTATGAACAAAAATAAAAAATGTTACATAAAACAGAATTCTCATATTAATATGTTCAACATATATGAAAGACTATATTAGATTTTTGAAATTGATCTCGGATCCACTGAGATCAAAATAGTTTAACCAATTGATTGATACATATATTCAGAAACAGGTCAGGATATTTCAATTATTTCCGTTTTCTTATATGCATCCAACAAAGATAAAAAAGAATATCCGTATCTATATCCATGTCCTATTGGATATGGATATTTAATGTAATAGATATATGAGCGCAATTGTGCGAATATATCCTTGAGTTTCGATATCCTTTTGTATCGCTAGTTGTTTCTCATTCTCTTGTTACAATAATACTGAGAATTTTGTATCGCTAGTCGTTTCTCATTCTCTTGTGCGAATATATTCCCTTAGCCGTTTTCAGCTCCACTCGACGACTGGGCCAAAAGTCTCTGCTAAATGATCAGGGTTGGGAATCCTGACCATTTCGATAGCGGGCTTTCGAATTGGTCGGGGTTCTCAACCCCGACCGATTAGACAACATGCTAAATTAGTCGGGGTTGCCAACCCCGACTAATTTAGACTGTATATTTACCAGGGCATGCAAAATAGTCGGGGTTGGCAACCCCGACTATTTAGAGGCGCGATTAAAAAAAAAGCAGACTCATTTCGTGGTCACGCTGCTGACGTGGCCACGAAATGGGTCTGTTTTTAGAAATAAAACGAAAGTGGGTCTGTTTTTTTAATAAAAATTTTAAATGAGTTTATTTTGAAAATTTGTTCTAAGAGAAACTCCAAAATGTAGGCACGGGAAACAATAATAGCAAGAGTGACATAGTACCTATAATAATTACAGAAGAAAGCATATCTTATAGTATATTTGCTACCACGTCCTATATCTCCAATCACAAGCTACTTTCAGTCTAGATCTAGGATAGATGGTACAACACTATGAATCTATGAGCTAGTTACCTACGATAACAATAAGCCGAAGGAACAGTTGGAGGATACACATAAAAGCTGGTGAGGATACGGAGAAGAAACGGGAGAGGAGTAAACCAAGGTGCAGTGAATGCAAAGAATCAGAAGAGAAAATGGTGAATCATAGTAAAGAAGAGGGTAAAAAACTCCAAAAAGCATAACGGCTACTTGGTCATCTATACCAAGATTGAACTCTCCTAAATATTGTCTATAGAATAATAATATGACAGAAGTGTGCTGGCAACCAACTAAAATTTGTCAGGTCGAGAGATAGACACACCTTCGTGGACCTTTGTTGTACGCTTAGCATTGATAGGTTTCTTTATGTGGGTCTTTCAGCTTTAAGTTGTTGAAAGACAATGACTAGTTTCTTCATGTGATGTTGTGTCAATCATCTGTAGAAGCACAACATTGCAAGCGTGAATAGATTTCTCTAAGTGGTAAACTTCTTGGAGTGGTGGTTATGAGAAAATGAATAAGGGGAGGCTGCCCATAATGTACTTTCTAGGGTATAGTTTAGTGGTGGTGTTCCACGGAGTTTGCCGATACTCATTCCATCGGAGCCATCTAATTCAGTCTTTATAGGTTTAGCATTGCATAAACAAATTAATATGTCTCCTATGTCCTATTAAGTATTTCAGATTGAACATCATATTAAGGATTGTGGGCGTCCCCACCGCGACGCGTTGCATCGATGCCACACCGATGCAATGATAATAAGTAAGCAATGATGGTTTGCTAAGGCATTCCCCGGAAGTGATGCATTACATCGATGTCACCTCGATGTAATGATAAATAAGGAATGGTGTTCTAAGAATCTACAATCCTCTAATAGGTTATCTAATAATATTAGGCATAGACTAGAACGGTCTAAGAGGAAAAATGGTAGGAGACTTTTACAAAAAAATATAATTAGATTAGCTACTTAGAATATAGGTACACTTACCAGAAAGACTATGGAATTAGTGGATATCATGCTTGAAGAAAGATAAATATAATTTGTTTACAAGAAACTAAACAGATAGGTAAAAATTCTAGAGTAATTAAAAAGACCGGATATAAATTTTGATACACGGGAAAGAGAAGAATAGGAATAGAGTGGGAGTTCTTGTAGATAATATAATAAAAGAAAGTATTGTAGAGGTAAGAAGAGTTGGAAATAGAATAATACTAATAAAAGTTATCTTAGGTGTAGAGATCATTAATATTTTTAGTACTTACGCACCACAAATAAGCTTGTCCGAGAGTACTAAAAAAAAATTTAGGATAGATTAGATGAATTAGTATAATGAATCCCATTTGAAGAGAAATTATTTATAGGAGGAAATCTTAATGGGCATGTTGGTAAGGATAATAACGGATATGAGAGGATACATGGAGGTTTCGGGTATGAAGATAAGAACGATATGGGTAAATCAATTTTAGAGTTTGCAAAATCGTATGATTTGATAATAGCAAATACACTTTTTAGAAAAAGGGATGAACACTTAATAACCTTTAAAAGATCGTATGATTTGATAATAGCAAATACACTTTTTAGAAAAAGGGATGAACACTTAATAACCTTTAAAAGTGGTTTTAATAATAGTCAAATAGAGATGAACACTTAATAACCTTTAAAAGTGGTTTTAATAATAGTCAAATAGACTTTTTTCTTACTAGAATGGCAGATAAGGTAATATGTAAAGATTGTAAAATTGTACTAGGAGAGAGTTTAAGTACATAACATAGATCAGTGGTCTTAGACATATCTATTAAGAAGTGGAGTAGAAAAACTAACGTGAACAAGAGACTAAGAACTAAATTGTGGAATTTAAAAGGAGAGAATTTAATATATTTTAAAGATAAGATAATAAAAGAGATATATGGAACATAGATAATGAGACTAATATTATGTGGAATAGCATGTCTTCTTGTATTAGGAAAGTGATTAAAAAATATAATAGGAGAATTTAAAGGTTATAGATTAGATGATAAGGAGAGTTGGTGGTGGAATGAGAGTGTGCAAAAGGTTATTAGAGAGAAAAAACTTTATATAAATAGTGACAAAAGTGTAGGAGCAGAGAAAACTTAGAAAAATATAAACTAATAAGGAAGCAAAAAAGAGCGATTAAGGAGAATAAATATAAGGTTTATGAAGTTTTTTATAAGAAGTTAGAATCTAAGGAGAGAGAAAAAAAAATATATAAGCTTACTAAGATTAGAGAAAGGAAGAGTAGAGATTTGAATAATATTAGGTGTATTAAAAATGATGATCAAAGAGTTCAGTGACCGACGGGGAAATAAAAGAGAGATGGAGGAGTTACTTTTATCAATTGTTTAATGATAACCAAACAAGTGAGCAAAATAGAGATTTTGATCATATAGTGAATGATAGGAACTATGGATCTTGTCAAAAAATTAAGATTAGCGAGGTTAAAGATGTTCTAAAGAAAATACAAAGTGAAAGAGGCGTAGGATCGGACGATATCCCTATTAAAGTTTAAAAATGTGTTGGATTTATGCGCTTAGGATGGTTAACTAAACTATTTAATTAGATTATCGAGACGGAAATATTGCCGGATGAGTGGAGGATTAGTACATTGATACCGATATATAAGAATAAAGGGGATATATAAAGTTGTTCAAATTATCGAGGTATAGAACTCATGAGCCATACTATAAAATTTTGGGAGAGGGTAATTGAGCAAAGATTAAGAAAAGTGACAATCATATTTGAAAATCAATTTGGTTTTATGCTTGGGAGGTTAACTATGAAACCTATACATATTTTGAGACGGTTGATGAAGAGATATAGAGAAAAGAGAAAGGATATATATATAGTTTTTATCGATCTAGAAAAAACTTATAATAGAGTGCCTAGCTAAGTTGCATGGAAACGGGCACAGGTACTGGTACAGGCGTAGGTACGGGTAAGGGACACGGCAAAACTGTAAAATATAGGGTACGGGGACACGGCTACATATACATATTGAATTAATAAGAGCATCTCCAACAGTTTTCCCAAAATTTTCTTCAAAATGGGGAAGCAAAAGTCATATTCTCTAAATTATTTTTGCTCCAACTCTAACAGCTTCCCCATTTTGAAGAATCATGTATTTATTACAATAATAAAAATATTCTACATTCCTATTTTTGGATGCTCTTATGCATTGGAACTGCCCCCATGGTTTTTTTTGTAATTACGAATTTTGTTTTATATTTATTTTCTTCTTCATCTCGTCTTGAAGAACGTGCTGCAGAACGTGCTGCATTAATGACGAAGCTTTTCCCAAATATTTAAAGAATGCCCCAGATTTGGGGAAGACTCTCCTTTTTTCCTCCTCCATCCCTATTTTGGGGAATGGGATGGGGAATCTGTTAGACAAAAAAAAAGTCAAATTCTTCAAAAGTGAGAATACCAATAAAATGAGGAAGCTGTTGAAGATGCTCTAATGTACATGAGATAATTTTCCCCTGCTTCATGTATCATTAGAATTAAAATTCCGATCATATTTTTGAGTTTCTTTTATCATATTGATTGTCATGAATTATAAACTACTTATTTTTTACTAGACATCTAAACGATCCATTAACTATATAGTTTTAAACTTGGGTATGGACTGAAACTAACTCGACCCGTATCTCATTAGTTTCAAAAGACGGCTGCGAAGTGTAAGCTCTACGTCCAGGAAGTCTTTGACAAGTGTTTTAAATTAACACATATATCGTATAATTGAGTACATGTTGTAATAAATACATGCATATATTCGAGAAGTGTTCATGAAGTTTGAGTACGGGAAAGTGTCGGGTACGTTTCCGGTATGGGTACGGCTTCAATATACTCGGGTAACATAGGTGCTTAGAAAGATAATGTGGTGGGTATTAGAAAAAAAATATGTATCTAGTATATATTAATGTGATTAAAGATATGTATGATAGAGTAACAACTAGAGTAAGAACTAATGAAGGAGGGACTAAACTATTTTTTATTAGCATAGGTTTACATCAAGGGTCAGATTTAAGCCCTTATCTTTTTGCATTAGTTATGAACCAACTTACTAAGCACATTCAGGATGGAATTTCATCGTGTATGTTATTTACCGATGGTATAGTATTAGTTGATGAAACTAGAAGAGATATTATTTCTAAAATAGAAATATGGAGACAAGCTCTTGAATCTAAAGGTTTTAGAATTAGTAGGACAAAAACAGAATATATGGAGTGCATTTTTAGTAAAACTAGGAAAGGAAGAGAGCTTGTGGTACATATGGATGACCAAGAAATACCTAAAACTAATTATTTTTGCTATTTAGGATCAATCATTAGGCATGATGATGAGATAGAGGATGATGTTGTGTATCGAATCGAATCGGGTCGAATCGAATCGGGATGATTGAAATAGATGAGTGCTTCGGGATGTGATCGTAGAATACTAATGAAACTAAAGAAAAAATTTTATAGGACGGTTATAAGACCAATTATGCTTTATGGGTCAGAGTATTGGACAATTAAAAACAACATGTTCAAAAAATGAGTGTAGCAGAAATGAGAATGTTGCGATGGTCTTGTGGGTAACAATTAAAAACAACATGTTCAAAAAATGAGTGTAGCAGAAATGAGAATGTTGCGATGGTCTTGTGGGTATACATTAAAAGATAGGATAAGTGTAGCAGAAATGAGAATGTTGCGATGGTCTTGTGGGTATACATTAAAAGATAGGATAAGAAATGAGTGCATCTGTAGTAAATTAGAGGTTGCACCTATTGAGGATAAAATGAGAGAGAATAGATTCAGATGGTTTGGTCATGTACAATGGAGACATTTTAGTGCACCAATTAGGAAAAGCGATAATATAGAGTTAATGGGGCTGAGAGATTTGGAGGTAGACCTAGAATGACTTGGTTAGAAATAATTAAAAAGGATATGATTAAGACTAACTTAATGGAGGAGATACCCATAACAGAATGAAATAGAAAAATAGGATTCATTAGCTGACTCCAAACTTTTGGGATAAAGGCTTGGTGGTGATGGTGGTTGTTGGGCAAAGCTTATGAAGAACCGTTCACCAGTTCTTCATTTCTTGGAAAGCACTTTTCTAGTTTTCATTGAGGGTCAATCATAAGCAATGACAAATGAGTCTTCTAGTGGCTGTCCATCAATTTGCCAAATTTTCTCTTGCACTTTCCCACCCATGCATTGGAAGGAAAGTCATTCAAATGTTTATGGAAGGTTTGTGTTCATTAGTGGAATGTCGAAGTTCATTGCACTAATTGGTGTGTTGATTAGTGCCTCGTGGTCCAGAGGATTGACTCTACATAATTTTGTCTTATCATCCTCAATCTGATGGTCAATGTGTGACGATTTATCAAACTTCAGAGACATACTTATGCTTTTCTGCACTGATGACTGAACCTAAAGAGGGGATGACTTCTATGGACCAAGTGTTGGTACAATACTTTGTGGCATGGTTCCGCCAAACTGTTCTACTCCCCTGCTCTTCTCACTTATATACTTTTCATTCAGTCAAATCTACAACAATATAGTAAACTCTTCTCTCTGTGACATTGTGCTTCACGAATCAGCTCAGATTTGAGAGACCATGAATGAGTTCATAAATTTGAGACGGTAGGGTGCTGCATGGTGAAACCACTTGGTGCCGAATGTGCGTTTTATGGTTGGCTGTTTAGAAATATTGAAGAATATACTCGACATGGAAAATGGGTCTCTTGTCCATGGTTAGCTGTATGCAAGTAGAATTGTAGTGTAAGGACTGTGAACATTCAAGATGCTACATATGGATATATAATATGTACTCATGTTACTACTAGTTTAGTAAGGTAGAGGATTTATAACTTAATTTACCTTTGTTTGCATGATGTTTGAGATGTATCATACTTGAAGACAATCTTCAGAATGTAGAACAAAGTGCTAATTTGCCTCCTGGATACGCGCTTCTTGTGATACCGAGCTAGAGTGTTTTGTGGTCTGGTTATATAGTTCGTATGTCATACAAATCACTTATTATGTTCTTCTTACCTTTTCTTAATGAATATACAGCCTTTTCTTATGCAGTGCTTTTTAACGTATGGAGTGCATCCTTTTATCCCTCCCTCCCTCCTTCCCTTTTGTTCACCTCCTCTCTCGCTCTTGCTGTTGCATGATTATTCATAAGCTTCTAATTGGTTTTTGCTCCTTTTATGTTATCTTTTTCTTGTCTTGATGAATAACAAGCTGATATTTACTCTTAGCCGCACTGACTGCAGCACTCACCTGGTAGAAAAATCTACTATCTATTTTTGTATAGATAAGTACTCGTTTACTAAATATCACAAGCATTTTGCTCACTATTATGTAGAGAATTAGGCATCTGACTTCTGTTTGATTTTGTCAGGGATTTGGACGTCTTTCCCTGGTTGCAGCTTCTGCTGTGACTGTTGTCCAAGCAGGCACAAAGGATCTTACATCCAAGGTACCTTTTCTTTTGCTGTTAGTATAATTTATTTTTTTGTTGCAATCTAGCAATTATCCTCTCAATGTTGACAGTACTGATCATCAACCCACCCAGACTGAAAGTGACAGCCCTTGTAAGTATATCCTTTTTCCATTTTATGATGGTTACACTTCCTCCGATTTATATAGCTCTGGTAGGGATAACCTTGTAGCGAAAATGTAGAAAACCACACCAATCACCGCGCTAATCCAGTCTTCCTCAGGAAATATAGCATTTCTCTTCTGCAGGCAACTCTGATGTTACCTAAGAGTCCCTGAATAGTTACTATATTCAATTGTTGTTTGTCTAGCCAAAACCAATTTTCAATTTGTGAAAGGATTTTAAATGGAAATTCGTCAGTGTATCCCTATGAAGGCTTAGCAATATGTCTTAGGTTGACAGTCCAGGACTGTGTTAATTTTCCCAAAGAAAAACTGGTACATAGTTTATGATTGTAGTAATGGACTGGACAGTGTTAACTAGTGATTTTAGTTAGAAAAATACTCATTGAAGAATTTCTATCTGTCAAACAACGTTATACGCTGAAAAATTGCTTGCATACCTAACAGATGGGTTCAGCATAATAAATGGAATATGAGCTGATAGGCTTAGAGAGCTTTTTTGTTGGTGATTATCTTAATCCTGATCCATACTTTTCACAAGTTGGGCCTACTCTCTTAGGAGTAAGCTGAAAGCTCCCATGTTATTCTCTGTATATAGTAGGCTGTTGGAGGCTACTGACATATTGGTCATGGACTCACGATGTTGAAGATACAGAAACAAAAGACTGACTATGAAACTGAAAAGACTTGACGAGACGAGGGAGCAAGTAACAAACATTAATGGGAATGCTCCTTGAAATGAACTTTCTCCAAAAAAATTTGGGTTGACTACATGAATAATGTTCTTCTTTTGGGCTATCTCTTCCATTAAGTTACTATCTTATCCTTCTTAATTGCTTTCAAACATTAATGGGAATGCTCCTTGAAATGAACTTTCTTACAAGCACGTCACTAATTAGTACACTAATAACAAGTGATAAGGGATCTGAATGAGCCCATGACAAAATATTCCATTACTTTCTTAATCATTTGAAGGACTTCAGTGCACTCATAGTCCACCAATTAAGTTGATATGATAGTAAATGGTATGATATGGTTGCTAGAAAAAATTAACACTTTTGGACTTCAACCAATCATACTGCCTCCTTTCTTAGTTGGGGCTGTCGGTTAGTTTGGGTTGGTTGGTGGCTTTTATTTTTTTGTGGGGGTTGTCTGGTGTAGGGGCGGGCCGCGGTGTGTTTTTGTGGGGGGGCGGGGGGTTGTCTGGGTGTAGGGTTGGGGAAGAGAGGTTCTGAGTAAAAGAGAAAGGATGTCTCTTATTGAATTTTGTGGGAAGAGAGGTTCTGGTTAAAAGAGAAAGATGTCTCTTATTGAAATTTGTGGGAAGAGAGGTTCTGGTTAAAAGAGAAAGATTCCTCTTATTGAATTTTCCTCATTGCTTTTGTGAAAGTAGAGGAAGAGGAGCGCATAACAGAGATTCCACCCTCTCTCTTAGAACGAACAACAATTAAACTTGACAATGAAGGGTCTCCGTATTAGTTGGGGGACAAATTTGTCAATGC